AAAAAATTGAAAAAAAGATTTTATGGATCTTTTGAATCCATGATTGTATGGATCTTTTGAGTCCATGGATCTATGAAAGAAAGCCATACAGGATTGGAACGACAAGAGGGTGAGCAATTGATGGTAGAATTGTCATTTTTGGGTGAACTGTGCCTTTAATGGTGAGTAAATATGCAGGTGAGCGTACCTTCAGCATGTCTGTCTGTCCACCTAGGCCCTTGGTGCAGAGCTCCATGACTGAATAGGAGCAGAAGGTGTCTCTGATGCGGTACTGACTGAGCGTGCCTAGCCACAGGGTCAGCGAGCTCTCCAGCTCCATAGGAGGGATCAAGATGGACTGATGACCTGAATATACACTGTAAAACACAGGCACATTTCAGGTTTATAATACCTTCAAAACATATTCATATCCATTCTGAAGAGAACAAGCCATTGCATGAGATGACACAAAGCTGTGAGTCATTTTTATCTTAGTATGAGTCATTTGTATGTGACTGTTTGTGTGTATCCATCTGTTACCTCGCAAGGCACCAGAGCACAAATCCAAGTCCACAGTAGGGGTCGAGGCAGATGGTGATCTGGCGAGAGGAGTACAGCTCACACTGCAGCTTTATAGAGCGACAGAGAGCACTCACCGCCGCATGAGAGATCTGATAGACAGCCAATCAGAGAGGGGAGTTTCAAATGTACAGTACAACTAAGAGGGAGATATTTGCTACAGTGGGGTCCAAAACATCTAAGATAACACTGAAAATCAGTAAATATTATTTAAACTAAAATGGTTTGCGATTTTAAAAGAGAAAATAGCAAAATAGAAACATTTTCAATAGTGGTTTTAGGTTTCAGGACACTACTGTGTATTAACAACATCCCATCCATTTGAAACATCTCTGATTGGTCAGTTATTCAATGACCCTGCTAAAGATAATTATGAAACATATCTTATTATGAATTATGAAAGATCTCTCACCTTCACTCCTGTCAGCATGCCTGTGGTTGAGACACTGAAATCCAGATATGCGATCATCTCAGCATTGGGCGGTTTGTAGATTGTGGGAGGTCGTTTGCGAGGCAAGTCATCTGGGGAAAATTATGGACATGTTAATTATAGATATATTTCTAAGCTTGCTTGCTATGCGTGTTTCTGGATGGGAAGTTTATGTTGTTATTTTATGTAACATGGAGACTTGTAAGTGCTTAAATTGACTGTATTGTGGTGATGAGTCTATTATTAGTCAAGCTGTTACACAAAACTCAAAGTTGTTTCAATGAAAGTGCAAATCCTGATCTAGTGTATATGCTAAATTCTAACTTTTCCACGACATTCTAATTTATTGAGATGCACCTGTAATATCATATTGTATCGTATCGTATCATATCATATCATATCATGTCACATGACTTGAACCTATTATTATACAAGCAAAGTACAGTATGTTCTGCACAACAGCTGTATTGAAAACTGACTGGTGTGTGTTACCTGTGTCTATTATGATGGGCCATGTTTTTATGTTTACTGTAGTTGCTGCTTCTTTAGATCTGAGAATCTTCGTTAAAACCTGAGTAGTGAGAATGCAAGCAGCCTTGCTGACCTGAGGAAACCAGGAGAGATGCAAGAAAAGTGAACAATGTTAGAGTCTGGCAGTTGAAGAGCCTTCACTACCAAGCAGTTAAAAGAAAACACAACCAAATCAAGGTGTACAACAGATGCAAACACACAGACTTACATCAATGATCATGCGGACAGTGGGCAGAGTGGCAGAGAGGTTCTGTGGGTGTGGAGGCCTCACGGTGACAGGAATACAACCAGCATACAAACAGCCATAAAATGCTGCGATCAGATCTATACCTGCACACACAAAAAATTCAAATACAAGGCAACATTTTTAATTGTGTAAAAATCATTAAATTATTTTTAAATGATCATTTTCTCCTGGACTGACCTTTAGAATTAAAGACCAGCTTTACCAGTGTTTTTTAGTATTATTGCTTCATTAACAATTATATTATTAATTCATATTTTAAATGAGCTTTTATGTTTACATTTTGAGTTTTCATTTTAATTTTTAGTTTGGTTTAGTCATTTTGTTATGTGTTTTTATTTAGCTTTAATTTTTTTCAGTTATAGTTCTAAGAATTTAGGACTTCAACTTATTTCAGTTGCTTGTCAAGACAACATTTCTAATTTTGTTGAAGTTTCCTAATAATCTAATATTTAGATTTCAGCTTTATTTATTTTAAATTTTAATCGTTTTAGTGCCCCTTTAAAGGGGTCATGAACTGAGAAACCAAAGTTCCCTTGATCTTTTGGCATATAAGATCTCACTGTACTATAAAAACATTCTATAAGTTTCAGTCTAAAAACAGCAAATATTGAAGCCAGTCTGCCAAAACAACAGGTTCTGGAATGTGCCACTCTATAAGGTAATAGTGTGGATAAGCACCGCCTCCGCCGAAGAAGATCAAGGTCCGCTTCTACATCACTGCCTGTTTAGCCCCGCCCACCAATTTGTGCATGTAGTGTAAATAAACAGAGGGGAAATACAGATCTACGCAGAAACCAAATGATAAAGATGACTCCAAAGACAACAAGACGCTGTGCAGTACCAAGTTGTGGAAAATCAGTCTTTGTTTTCCTTCCTTCTGATCCCAACGTTAGGAAAGAGTGGATGAACTTTATTTTTAATGAAGATCCAGACCGCATCACTAAGAACTCGGTCCTTTGTTCACTTCATTTCATAGCGGATTCCTTTTCAAACAAGGCACAATTCGACACGGGATTTTCAAAACGATTTAAACTAAAAGACGATGCTGTGCCGACTATAATGGATCCGACAGTCATGTCGCAACACACAAGTGTAAGAGTAACTGTTTTCATTACGTGGTCACTATTGCTTTTTCTCTTATTACAGATTGTATGATATGTATTGAGCTATTTATGCGTATTTACCTAAATCACAGCAGTGTCCATCTATGAGGAATGAATGTACGCTGTCAAACATACACAACTATTAGCCAATCACAGCAATGGGTGTTTACTTCCAAGTCTACAATCCACCATGCCTATTCAAACAGAGCGTTCTGATGAGGGGGTTAAAAACAGGACAGAAACTAGCCTATTACTTCTAAATTATGGTTTTTGATGTAAAAATCTTAAAAACATTATAAGTGGACCTCAGAGAACAGTACAAAAAAACAAAACAAAGGCAGTTCTTGACCCCTTTAAGGCACCTATATGAAAACATCCTCATCACATGTGAAATAAGATAGAGCACTTTTCTTCAATTAACCATGTCTTTGTGGTTTACTCCAATATAGTTTTTTAACTGCTATAAAAGGACAAAGTATGTGTGATTTACCTGGTGGATACAAAAGCACCACATTCTCTCCGATGTTAATACCACTTCTCTCCATGAGAGCAGCTGCAATCTTCTCTGCTTTTTTATGAAGCTGAACACATGTAGCCGTACATACTGCCACTCCCTAGACAGAGAGAGAGAGCACATTATTGGCCAGCAAATCAAGACATTCTAAGGATTTGATCAAGTGTAGTTCTTCCACTCTGTTTTTTGTGTGTACGAGTATTTTTTTTACCTTTGCATTCAAAAGTACATAAAGCGTATGGTCAGGATCGGTTTGAGCTCTCCACTGTAAAGCCTCTGTAAGGAATTGATGCTAAGAAAGACAAGATAGACAGTTCATCATCAATAACATCAAACATATAACATCAATAACATTAAATAATCATATCATGCGAAAAGTCGTGTCATGCATGTGATTGTGCCATAATGATCACAATGCTTACCATCATTGTAGGCCACATGCACAGCTGCATCCATACGAAAGCATTAAAATACCACACAATGCATTTCAAATAAACTGCTTCAAATTATACTGTTTGCATTATTTACTTCCGGTTGTATGGGCACAATACACAATAAGTCTCAGTTTACCTTCCTGACCAGGTCTTGGTCCTCTATGAGTCCCAGATCTCTGCCTGCAGCCTGTGCAATTCTTTTCCCAGCAACCAAATTACCCACCATGATGGAGGCAGGGCCAACACCGACTATGAAAGACATAATAACAGGACAGAACACTCTGAGAAAACATCACATGCATCAGATTTTCACCTCTAGATTTTAGGGTTCCCTCACCTCTAAGATCTCTATTTAACCCCTGCATACACACCTGGTTGTTTTTGACGTGGTTTGGGCATGTTGGTGACGCAGGTGTGGGGGCACATGAGGATGTTGCAGGGGTGCAGCGCTCCCTCCAGGAAGAGTTGCTTGGTGTCTGAGATGTGAATGCCCCCTAGGGGAGTTTTGGGCAGGGTGTTGGCAGGAACCAGTGCAAGACAATACAATCCCACCTGATGAATACTGTCAATTGCCTACAGTTGTGAAACAATACACAAAAACCACTAATAAATGCATCATATATAAAAGATTGTCAAACGTATGTGTGTTAAACTAAACAATGAATTAACATTTATGCAAGCAGTAATAGGACACTGTTGTGATTTTATTTTAACCATGGTAAACTGCTGCCTTAATTAAAATGCAACTATATTCAATGTAAATGCATTAACCTGATTGGCATAACTAGATCAAGCTAATTAAGAACAGTGTTATTTTAGTATTATTTATATACTATCATAATAATTACTAATATTTTGAATTATCTTTTTATTTTTATATTTTCAGTTTACTGTAGGTTTAAAGGGATAGTTCACGCAAAAATGAAAATTCTGTCATTAATTACTCGGCCTCATGTCGTTACAAACCCGTAAGACCTTCGTTCATCTTCGGAACACAAATTAAGATATTTTTGATTAAATCTGAGTGCTCTCTGACTCTCCATAAATAGCAAAACAACTGAAAGGTTCCCAGGCCCAGAAACGGAGTAAAGACATCGGTAAAACAGTCCATGTGACATCAGGGGTTCAGCCGTAATTTAAGAAGCTACGAGAACAATGCATGCATTGCCTTGTTTACATGCAGCGGAAAGCACACGCATGCATTGTGGTACTCTCCATAATGGTGGAGGATGATGACTTGGAAAAGAAGAATTGTTGAATAAAGTCATTATTTTTGTTTTCTTTGTGTGCAAGAAGTATTCCCGTAGCTTCGTAAAATTACAGCTGAACCACTGATGTCCCATGGATTGTTTTACCGATGTCCTTACTACGTTTCTGGGCCTGGGAACCTTTCAGTTGTGTTGCTGTTTATGGAGGGTCAGAAAGCTCTCGGATTTCATCAAAAATATCTTAATTTGTGTTCCAAAGATGAACACAGGACTTACGGGTTTGGAACGACATGAGGGTGAGTAATTAATGGGGTAATTACTCACCATTTTTGGGTGAACTATCCTTTTTAGTTATTTTTTAATTTTATTTCAGCTTTATTTCAATTAATGAAAATGATTTGTAATCGTTTTAGTTTTAGTTAACCATGACAACATGGATTTTGATGACAAATACCTTTAAATAATACATCAGCATTAAATATTCATTAAATAATTGGCAATATTTAATAATAATCATCACAAACCATTTTTCCACCAAAAGATAGCACATACTGGCAGTACAGTCACAGATGTGTATACATATACTGCCTTTCGTACCATGGAATTAACATGGTACATCCGATCAGATTTTTTTTTTTTTTACATTTATTTTTGGCATTTTATTATAATAGGACAGTTTAGATCTGACAGGAAGCGAAGTGGGAGAGAGAGATGGGGCGGGATCGGAAAAGGTAGGGATTCAAACTCGGGATGCCCATAGTCAGCGTGCTGTCGGCGAGCTGCCCATGAGGCTATTGGCACCGACATCCGATCAGATTTAGTATAAGTATAAAACAATCAATTTAAAATCACTGCTATAAATTTGTCTGCACCTGTAGAACCCGACTCATCCACTGGAAGCTGTCTTCTTCACTGGCATCAGGCCTCTGCTCTGCTACGATCACTATCCTCTCATCATAGAACACAGTCACTGAGAACACCGCAATCCTACAAAACACACACACTTCAGATTAATATCTTCTCTCATTAAAATACATTTTAAGACTACATTGTTCTCTCCATATTCAAGTGGGAACCCTCACCTTCCTCTGTACACAGTTTTGACTGGTTCCACCGCTAGTGCTGTCGCTACTAGATCATCAGCATTGTGACGACGGCCACTAACCATTAGCAAGCCCTCATTCTTACCCACCACAAATATCAAACTACCCTGTTGAAGGAAGGGAGGGGGGAAAACGGATTTTATTCACATGAAAAAAAATGCACTGTCCCTCTCATTTTCCTTTTTCACACTCTTACCGGTCCAACAAACCCCAGTAATCCTGACCGCACAAATGGGATTTCACCAATAGGAGTGCCACTAGCATTGACTGGGATCACCTGCGAGATTTCAAACAAACAACACAACATTCACATATACATCAAAACTGCAGCATTATTCCATTAGAAATATATTTATGGTGTGTAATTCCATGCAAAGTTACAACATTGTCTGTGTATGTGAGTGTTAAATTGATCGTCATACCTCAAAGGTGTTTTTAGTGACTCCATGCAGGCCGTAGTACATGTTCCCACCAGCACGAGAGTTCACGACGATCTCTCCAATCTCATCCGTTTTACACAGCATGGGCGGCCCATCCGGCTTCACAATGCACATCAATGCTAAAACACACACAAACACACATGCTAACTTCATGCGTGCTTGACAAACATATTTAAACTTGGATAACATGGTATTATGAACTGGATTTTTCTCTGAAGGAAATGTGAGTGAGAATACCATAGCTCTATAAATCTACAGTAATACCATGATTATATTTTGTATGTGTGGACAATGCAAATCACACACATACGATTAAATGACACTACCAAGTTTTCAAAAAAAAAATTTTTTTTTAATGTTTTTGAAAGACATCTCTGCACTTATTTAATCAAAAACACAGTAGAAGCAGTAATACTGTGAAATATTATTATAATTTAAAATATTTTGATCCTTCAAAAATCATTCTAACATGCTGTTTTATTGCTTAAAGGGGTCATATGATGCGATTTCAATTTTTCCTTTCTCTTTGGAGTGTTACAAGCTCTTGGTGCATAAAGAAGGTCTGTAAAGTTGCAAATACTAAAGTCTCAAATCCAAAGAGATATTCTTTATAAAAGTTAAGAGTTAACCACGCCTACCTAAAACGGCTCGTTCTAACATGCCCTCACATGTCTACGTCACGATGTGGGAAGATTTGCATAACGCCGCCCAAATGTTCACGCAAAGAAAGAAACTTTGATTCTCGCTGTAGTATTGTTGTTGCCATGTTTTTCGTTGTGAAAGCGAAACTACTTTGTTTGGCCTTCCAAAAGAGGACGATCATGTCATGCCTACAGCTGATCCGTGCTGGTCGCTGAGGATACATAGGATAGGATAGGATAAACTTTATTAATCCCCGCAGGGAAATTGTTTTCCCCAACACACCACAGCGTAAAACAGAGAACTGGCAACCACAGACTGATAAAACATATTAAGCATTTTACTACATACATTGAAGTACTTAAGTCTCCGCAGAAAATACAGTTGACTTTGTCCCTTCCTGTATATTGCCTCCATATTTTTAGTCCAGTTAAGCTTATTGTCAATGTAGACCCCCAGGTATTTATAGGAGTTCACAACCTCCACATTACAGCCAGTTATACAGACAGGGGTAAGTTGTGTCTTTTTCCTCCTGAAGTCAATAGCACATCAACTTCGTGCTGTGGCTCGCCGGATCGGCTTTCACCGTGGACGAAGCGGTTTTTGAACCTTAAACCGCATAAACACATTTCATTACACCAAATACACAAAATAATGTTATTTTTAGCAACATCATATGACCCCTTTAAATATTATCATTATTATTAACATCAATTATTATTGATGGTCAAATATTAATAAAGGTTCTCATTATTATCAATGATAAAAACTCTTTTTGCTGCTTAATATTTTTGTGAAAAAATATTATACATGCAATATATTCTGTTGAAAAAAAGTTGAAAATAATTATAAATAAATATCTATACAATAAATATCTCTCACTTTTGATCAACTGAATGTGTCCTACCTGAATAAAGTATTTTACACAGACATCTTACATAGACCAAACCTCTGAATGCTAGTGTATCATGGTTTCTACAAAACGTTTAAGCAGCAAAAACTGTTTTCAACACTGACAATAATAAGTAGTGTGAGCACCAAATCAGCATTTTAGAATGATTTCTGAAGGATCATGTGACACTGAAGACTGGAGTAATGGCTGCTGAAAATTCAGCTTTGCCATAACAGCAATAAATGACATTTTAAAATATATTAAAATAGAAAACAGGTCTTTTAAATTGTAATAATATTTCACAACATGACTGTTTTCCCTGCATTTTTACCTAAATCCTTGGTGAGCATAAGAAACTTCTTTCAAAAACATTTTAAAAAAACGTAATTATTCCAAACTTTTGATCGGTTTTATCGGTGGTATATAAAATTAGCATTAGTAGCACACACACCTCCAGGCATGACGTGTCCCACATCCTGGACGGTGAGAGCAGAGTTTTTGTCTTCAGTGTTGACCCTAATGACCCCATGGCTCAGCCCAGTCATGGACAGGATGGCTCTCGCTGGAAGAGGAGCACCAGGGACCCCAGGCCTGGAGAAACATTTCACAATCAGGAAACAAATAGCTAGTGCTTCTAAACAGGGATCCCTGCAGTTCGTCAAAAGAATGATATACCTCCGTATGGCAACCGTCATGGCCTCAGGTGATGTAGCACACGGGCAAATGACCTCTGGCTTCAAATCATGAGCCTGGAATACGTTTAAAAAGGCATCACATGATGAAACCGACCCTAAATCAGAAAGAGATGGAGATACAGAGAGATGAAAAGAGTCAAATCGTTGAATATGAATATTAAATGAACATCATCTCCCATGGAGTCTCTGCAGGAGGTCTGGTAGAGTTAACTCACAAGGATTGGCTCCGTCAGCAACAATTAGCATGCGCAACGAGGCCAGACTGGTGTCTCTCTGATCTCTGTGAGCCATCATTGCCCAATGCAGGTCACGACACTTCACCAGGGCAACCCGTGCTATAGAAACAGATGTTTTTCATATCAAAACAAATGTGTGTGGATGACAGACATACATTTGTTTTTTTGTTTGTTGTACCTTTGTGTATGTGAACTCGCTGAACCCAGGAAAGTGGACAAGCTTTCATTACTGCATATGGAACACTGATGGTGTGGATTCGGTTCATCACACTCTGAAATACATACAGATATTATTGGTCGAATGCCTCAAAAATGGCCAAGGTCAAATTGCAATCTAAAATCAAAAAAGAAATCAGCCTATTTTAGGATCAAAACTTTTTTTTTTTGCATTGTGACATTACTTTCTGGATTTTGTAATCAGATTCCTAAAATTAAGTACTTATAATTAGATTAAATTACATTTTAAAATACTTGCAATCAGACTACAGTTACATTTTTATTGATTACTTGATTACATATTTTTACACAATAGCAATATTAGAATTAAAAATCTTTTAAATGTTCTTTTTATAAAATGCCTACATGACATGCAGATAAATGAAATATTTCATTTTTTAGTAAGTGTCATTTTAATTGATGTTATTTTAAAATGATTTATTTTTATTTTACATTTTCATGACTTAATTAATAATTAGCTTTTCATTAAACTCACAAACCCCCTGCAGTTCCTTCACAAACACCACTTTGGGAAACGTTGAAATAATGTAATGCTTAATTCAATTTATGTTGTTAATAACATCAAATGGAATATATTTTCTTTGCAATTTAACATGAATATGGTACAAGTATAAAAGTAATCTAAAATTAATCAAAACGTAGTCTGATTATATTATCTAAAATGTGTAATGTAATGGACTACATTATTAATTAATATTTTTGTCATTTAATTTAGAATCAGTAGCTAACAACAACAATTTGTAAGT